AGGCTTTGAGAAGTAAGTACCTGTTTTAGTATTCAGTCCCAAGTGTTAGAGTACAGTGCCCAAACCATTGAAAATCACACATTTCTTATGATTTTCTTTTATTTAAAAATAGCTTCATTTATTTATGTGAAAAATATTTATGATAAAAATAACAAGAGTCACACTGCATCAAAGTAGTAGAAACAGCGATCTATATGAGAAATATGCTGCTATTAGAATTGGCCTGTCTCTTTCATTGACTCACTGAGTGTGTGTATCATGTTAGTCATTCCTTTTTGCAAGATGGGCTTGTGTTCTAGCCTTGCACAGGGCTCTCAACCTTCACACTCAATGTGGAGATTGATGCAGGATACTTTTCTGTTGTGGGGAATGCACCTGAGAATTGTGGCCTGTTTACAGGAACCCTGACTTTTACCCATTTGATGTTAGTAGAGCAGCATTTGTCCCCCAATTGTGGCAGCTAAAAATGTTTTGAGGTGTTACCCCAGTATTTTCTTTTTAATGAGTTTTATGATTTCTGTTCTCATATTTAGGTCTTTTATCTATTTAAATCTGTTTTCATACATGTGTGAAATATGGTTCGAGCTTTATTCTTTTGTATGTGGAAATCTAATTGTCCCTGCACTGACCATATGTCCAAGAGATTGTTCTTTACTGAAACAAGGGCTTAGTTGGACATACCATCTTTAGCATTCAGAATGACTAAGGTGTGTGTGTGTTGTCAGGCTGGAGAAGTAACTCTTTAAAACCACTGGACTCACAAAAAAGGAAGGCTAGACCTTCCAAAAGAGAAGTATTTAACTTTCTAGACATGGTAACTCTGCCTTTCTTCTGCACAGCTCAGGGGCATTTTCTTCCTAACTCAGTGTGTGCTAACGCATGATTTGTAACCTCTCTGCAGGTAGTCCCAAATCTACACTGTATTTCAGTTATGATGACCTGTACTTAGAACTGTCTTGTTTTTGTTTGTGTTTTTATGTTAGTTTTATTATTAACAGAATGTACTCACCATAGACTATTGCAGTATATCATTGGCTGATGTTATCTTTCCCAATGTTTGTCCACAGATCTTCAGTGTTATGATTTATAAAAATAATAATTGGACAATAATAATGAAAAAAAAAAAGAAAAACCCTAAGCCAAAATAGTCTATATATACCAGAACTGACTCAGAACAATGTCATCAGAGTGGAACCCAGTTATACATGGGGGCTTCATGTACTCTGATGCTTTATTAATTTATTACTTGCCCCCATTTTTAATAAAGCATTTAGACTTTTGCAGATTACTAGATAATTTCTAGTTTTTATTAATGTATTTAACATGTTTATAAATAGCTGTGAGAATAAATTTTTGTTTATCTCTTTATCTGTTGTAATTCACTAGGGAGTTCCTAAAAGTGAGTACTAAGAAAGCCCCAAATAGTCTATGTGCTCCCTAAGCCATGTTTGCTCTGAAACAGTCTATTCTTGCTTACTTTTCCTACTGCTCCTCTTTGTAACCACAATAAAGTTTTTTCTTCTGTGAAATGTGGTGGAAATTTAAAAATCATTCTTTAAATTTGCTGCCCCTACATTAAGATGGTGCAAAAAATATGCATTATTTTACATTTCTGAACAAAAATAAAATTCACAGTTGATTCTTCTTTCTTTAAATAGACTTGTCATTTGACATATATGAGGGTCAGATCACTGCATTACTAGGCCACAGTGGAACAGGAAAGAGTACACTGATGAATATTCTTTGTGGACTCTGCCCACCTTCAGATGGTAAGAGGGTCTTTTTGACTGAAAATGAAATCTCTTACTTTGTTAGTGTTTTTAATACAACTGACACAATATAATTGTTTATCTTTTAAATGTATACTGAATGTTTTTTGTCATTGATTTCAGACCAACATTTTCTTGATAGTTTTCCTGTAAAATTTAAAATGATTTTATCATGTTTAAGGAAGAAAATCGAATTTTGTATAATTTTTGTCATATATCGCATAAAACTGTGTGTGCTCATCTTCAAAAAAGATACAACAATTACTAATTTGAAAATAAATGAAAACAATAAATTATCTCAAGTTGAGAAAATAGAGGTTTTTACTTACATAGCAATGTGTCAAAGAGAAAAGAATGGTAAATGTGAACACCAACGCCTAACAGAATTTTAAGAGCACCACCTTAAAAGTATAATTTTGATCTGTGGTTTTTCTGTAGGTTAGAATTCTA